TTCATAGGCCTCCCTTCCTAATCTCTGCCTTAAATGCTACTGTCTTGTTTAGGTTAGCAGTCGTGCCTGTGACAGCTCTATACACTACCTTCTGGAGCTCCCCAGCTCCACAGAATACTTGTGCCTGCTTTGCAGATGGGGGAGGGTTGCCATATGCCAATGCAGTAGCAATTTTTGACTCACAGTCAAAAGCATCCCAAAAAGTCAGTATGCAGGATTTTCTGCCATATGGAGGAATTGTTATTTGGCCTTTTCTCTAGCTGTATCTCATTAAGCAAAAAGGAAAGAAAAAGGGAAGGACATTCTTTTCTTCTTCGCAAATCTTGCCCCAGAGTTCATTTTCATTTGAAAGACTGCATTCATTTCTGGTACCTAGAAAACCAAGTCAGAGCAGAAGGAAGTTGTAAGAATCTAGATGATTAAGGACAGTGTTCTGTCCAATTCAGCAGGTTTTCTTTAAGTCTTTTACACTTTGAATATGACTTCTTTCAGGGAGAAGGCTAAGACTGGTTCTACTGGGCTCAGAAAGACCAGAGTAGAAAAGGAATTGCACCTTCCATGAAGTCTGTAATGGTGCATTACCTACAGTAAAGCTATTTTACTACCTCCATAGACAGCAGTGTTTTGAAGGTGTCACTGATACCACTTCCATGATCCTTGTGTGTTCCGCAGTCTGTTTTGCTCAATATGGGAGGTTTGTTTAATCTAAGACTTCGCTGGGATTTTGCCTTTTTTTTTTTTTCTTTTATACAGAAAGTAATGCAGTATTAACATAATGCAGATATTTGTGTTTTAACTTTATACAGAGCCAATATCATGGCTAATGTAAAAACAGGAAAGCAATCAGATACAGGTTTAAAAGTTATAAAGATATATAGAAACCTCAAAGCCGCTCCGCTTCCTTACGATCTTCCTCAATGTAGAAAGATGTCAGGAGGAAAAAAGCTCCTCCAAAGACACCAACAAAAGCACACGTGATGAAGCTGTACTGCATGCTCCAGAAACTCCACCGGAATGAGTGAGCATTCTTGACCTGGATAGCATGGGCGATCTAAGGGAGTGAACAAGGCTGTCCTTAATCTGAGATAACATCATCATTCTCTTTTGGTTTAAGCAGACTGTTTACAGTGTGGTCCTTGAAAAGAATAAAACTAGGCAGATAAAGATGAAAAGCCTGCTACCAAAGTTTGTCAAACCCAGTACCCAATACATCTATACTTCACTGCTCTTCAGCTTCCATTTGGTCAAGGAGTCTCATGTTCTTTTATAACTCCAGTGCCTCCAGTCACAAGAGTAGGCAATGCTGCAACCGATGTTTGTAATGTTTGGTAAACTTTAACTAATTTTACCATTTTCTAGCCCATCTCCAGATAGCTAGCACAGGACAGACATTTGGTGGTGACCTTTATCATTTCTTGATGTTATTCTCTAACTTTATCCATCCTTAAACAGCATCAAATGGATACAAACAGGGGATTAGCATCGATACAGGCACAAGCAGCAACACTCATTAAGAAGGGAAGAGCTGGAAATTAATTTAAGAGACAAGACTGGAGTCTGCTCTGGAGCCAAAAGGCATTTGAGGAGTCATGGAGTGACATTATGAGGAACTGGGAAGAAGAAGATACCAGGCAGCTGCTTTTTGCACTGGCTGGAGGATGAGCTTGTAAAAGTTACAAATGATACACATGAATTTTATTTTTGTAGACAGAAAGAAAAGCTGATTTCAAGAAACTCAATAAGATTCAATACTAAACCCAGGAACTTAAAATCTCTTGTTAGCATAAACAAAAAGATGAATGTTGAATGCAGTAATTTTTATTCCTGCATTTGTTCTTGATGGTTAGAATACGCTATGTGACTTGAAATACAGAAATATGAAACTCTGCAACCTTTGCTGGGTTCAGTATGATTATTTATGACAGTTTAAGCAGATAAGAGCAAGATCAGCTCTAAATGGGCACCTTGGGACTACAGCAAGCATAATGGCCAAAATACAAACCTAATGTATTTAATTTTAAAATGCTTAGTAAGAATATTTCTGAAGCATTGAAAGAAGAAAAACAGACTCTGAAAAAGACTGTTCCCTGACCCTCCAGCCAGTTTTTAAGCTAAAGGGTTAGCTGAAGCAGGTTAGTAAACAATAGCAAGACATGAATGCAGAAGATTTGGTGGCTAATCAACAGCGGACGTGGACAGCGTTGGTACATCGGTTTACAGAAGCATTCCAGAAGACAATGTTGTGCTCATTGCATAAGGCCCCACTTGGGCATAGATAAGTTTTTTTCCTGTATTTTTTGTCTCTGTTCTTTGCAAAGTTGCAAGGTTACCTGAGGTTAATCTCATCTGGATAAGCTTTTTTTGTCTTCACACTTTTTGATTAGCTGCTATTTAAGGCAACTGCATGCAAGGTACTGCATAAGAAGTATTCTGCACACAGTTACTAGCAGGATGCAGCAGCATTCACCAGGAAGCCTCAACTCTGCCTGTGTCTCAAAGGTGGCAAAGAACAGGGGGTAAGAGATGATACAACTATTTTCATCTTTCAGGCAGGAAGCATAAATCAATGGAATAGTCAAAGAAGGGAGAATGCACAAGACATACTTAAGCTTTTAAGAGACCTCCCATTTTTGCATATCATTTCAGCCATTTTCACGACACGGGGATGTCGGTTATTACCATTCCCCATGCATGCAGCCAAATCAGTGTGAGTTTCATAACACACACCAATGGGCAAAGTGATCTCTTCATTTGCCAAAAAAAGAGAGCCAGCAGGAGGAATCTCTCAGTGAGAGGGCTGTCTTCTCTGCCAGACAGATTACACTGTTGAGACTCCGGTTTTCACCCAGTTGAGGACAAGGGGGATGTCCTGTCTGACTGGACCAGCAGCAGCTGTGCCTACAGGTACAGCTCACTCGGGCATTTCTGTCTGGCCCTGTCTAACCCTAACCCTGTTAACATGTGACAAAGAAAGAACAGATGTTCCTGAGGTGAACTACTTAAAATAAACTTTCATATGAACAAAAGTTTAAAGCAACAATAACGACTCACTCTTTCTCCAGTGTCCAGTAAAGCAGAAAAATCAAAGTGGGTGATCGGTTAGCTACTGCGTGCAGAATTACTGTGTCTTAAATCAAAAATAATGAAGGAAGGAAACAACACTGACAGATATCATCCACTGGAACTAAAACAAATGAACTGCAGGGAGAAAACAGTACTAGGTGCTTTGCCCAGAAGCACCAAAGATCAAGTAAATGATCAAGGGCAAAGAAATCAGGTCTCAAGCAATATGGGAATTCAAGGTTTAGGTAATTTGAGACCAGAGCTTTGAATGCCAAGTAGTAGCAAAAGGCAACCATTGCAGTCACTCTTGTCGTGATTTTCAAGAGAGCATTGACTAATTGCAAGATTTCAAATGTTAAGATTTGAGTTAACAGTGTTAGGTTTCAAGATAAAAAATGGTATTTTGATTAATTTCCACAAAACTCCTCAGAAACTTAACAGAAAGCGCTTAAATCCAACTATAATACCCATGACACCGTCTTTGCAAAAAATGTATGCCTTCAAAAATTTATGAGTTTGCAAATTTAAAATCAAAATAAATTTCTACACACTGCATGGAACTACTCACACCTACAAGGCATAGGATTATATTCTATATAACTGCAGTGTCACAGTACCAGAAGTTGCATGCATGTAAAAATGTTTAGAAAAATGTCTTTCCGTATTCTAGTATCAAGGCCACAATTTCAGTCACTTCTAATTTTGGACCAGGAAGTGCCTACAATTCTGTGAGTGTCTGTCTTCCAGTTTCTAAAAGTTTTACCCTACGGAAAGTTCAATAAGCAGAGAATTCACTTACAGCACCAATGAGATATGGGCTGCCTGCATCTCCCAGCAAATGGCTCACCAAAATCTGCAGGGCAATAGCTGTAGACTGCCGTCTTGGTGTCACAACATACTGAAAGAAAACACAACCCACAAGAGAATGAATATTAACAGAGTGAATCTCCTGAAAGGCCAACTACTTATACAACATCCGAGAGAGATTAATATATTAATTTTTATATATTTCTTATTCAAATACTGTTTACAATTTGGAGACAGAGAAGCTATTCTGAGCAAAAGAGTACACTGGATGTTTTGTTGAGGAGAAAATAATTCAAGAAATCAATACACAAGAGGGAATGACAATAAAGTAGGAAAAACATGACTCTCCTGCCTGCCCTTCACAGCAGCTTGTAGAGATTCACTTGGCTATGCAACTAATAAAAACCTCCAGACAGTAACCCGTCCAGTTGTACTGATTTACTAATAAGGAGATTCAGCACTGACAGCCTCTGACAAAAATCTCTTACAACATTGTGTCAGCAGGCATGGTCTAGATTGCTGGGGGGAAAAAGTGGTACCTGGAACCTGGAGTTCCTGGCGAGAAAGGATGTCAGCTGACACCTTGCAGACCACGTGAAGACAGAGGGGGGGGCACAATCTGGCAGACCAGAAGGTGGCTGATGGTGCTTTGATGATGGCAGAAGTTTGCTGCTTGTAACTGCAAAGCACCTGAGATATAGCTAGTCTAGTAACAGTACCTCGAAATGATTATGCTTTTGAGTGCACACAGTTTAAATAACAAATTGGAGAAGAAGATGTGGCGCACATCCATCACACAGAAAAACATCACATAGATTAGAACTATTATTTAAAATGAAATAAAGTCATTTTGGGGTAATAAGGGCTTTATGTCTGTGCTACTGAATATCAACTGTGCCTGAAGAAGTACAGTAAGATTCTATATAATTTGTGTCTCTCTTTTTCAGGAATACATTTACACAAAAACACATTCACAGTCAGAATAAGACAGAAGCAATTTTCAACCTTCACACCTTTGTTTTCCAACCACTTGTTTATATCAGAGATGAAATGTTTAATATTCTCCCACTTCTCTATACCGCAACTTGATTTTTTGGGAACCTGATCTGAACATCACTTAGCATGTCTCCAACACTAATTAATACGGTGACTGGTGTTTTACCAAGAGACAAACTCAAGGTTTGAGTTGTGGCTCTATACCTGCCTTCAAAGAAACACTAATATGCATGACAAGTTGTGTTTAGAAGAAAAAAAAATAAATCCTGCTCTCACAGTCAACTTAGAGTTTTGTTATCAGTTTTTGTGTTTGAAGAAACCTCAGAATATTAAATTAAAAATATCTACCTACCACTAAGATGTAGCTATATCACAATAGCAACATCAATGCCACATCTTTAGGGTGGGTGAAACTCCTTTAATGGCTGTTAAAACAGGTGGGTAAGGAAGCAACGTTGTCCAAGACACAGAGGTTAATTACTCTTGTGCAAATAAGTGCCACATGAAGTCAGGACCTATACATACCAGTAACTTACAGCATTTTAACGATACTGAAACTACAATCCATGGCACAGATGCAGAAATGGGAAGGACAATAATCTATATCAATGTAATGGTTTGCATTCAGGAGTGGATTGACAGAGGATACTATAGCACTGCATTCCTTTCCCTCTTGCAGCCCTGCAGTTGCAGGAGCTAGCATGACATATGTTCTTGGTATGAAGACTGGAGCACATATAGAATGAAAAGACCTAAAACCCATTATTTTGATAAAAAACCATTCACAGAATAATGCATGATTTACATCTTGTAGTTTAAGTACCATGCCAAGCTTTTTCCATTGCTGCAGTTTTCATGCTCTCTCACACAAACATATTTCTACCATTTTCCCTCAAGTATGACAAGATGTATGTTCTGCAGAGTCTTTCCCTAAAACACAGTTCTTCTGGGGCGGTGTCAAGTTGGATAATTTTTCTCAGCAAGGTCACCTATTTTCACAAGGCCTGTACGAACTCAGGTCTTCCTGAGGTGTCTAACTCTTTTTCAAACTGGGTTGAAATCCATGGCTTTGAAACTTGAAGAGAAAGCACAGACTGTAGTAAGTCTTGTTTCCTTAGGAAGTGAGGCTATGAATCCCATTTAAATTTAACAGAGCATTTTATCTAAAATGAGAAAGAAAATAGACAGATTTCCTCCAACATAATTAGCAAAAATTATAGCCAACTTGGCTACTGTCCTCCTGCCTAGTAAACCCTTCCTGTAGCCAGGGTTTTCTAAGCAGCACCACGCCTTACACCCTGCTGGAATGCCAGAAACACAACAATGAGCAGTGACGTCCTTTTTCCTACAACCAAATTTCCTCTGTTCAGAAACCGAGTTTCTCAAGAGCTAATATAACTCTTTCCATTCAGTGGAAGCCTTTCGGTCCTGCTTGCCCCATATGGCAACCAGTTTCAGTAAAGAACCAGTCCACATTGGTAGTGCCCCTCTTAGCAGAAATGGCCACAAACTTGGATACACAAATCACTCAGCATCTTAAACCAGCATCTTTGCACCCAGTAAGAGTACTCCATACAATGCAGTTTTATTAAAAGACACAACTTCCTTACTTACCTTGTACACATACAGCTAGCTTGTATCCCTTTCCATTCCTAGTCTCTCCAAAGTAGATATTTTTAACCAATTATTTTTCATTAGGAATATTTAGATAGAATACTTCAATAATAATAAATACTAAAACAGGGATACCTGAGAGATTGCTTCAGAGTTACAGAAAACCACTTTAATAGCGTGTTGCCATCACACTGCATCCAGTGTAAGAACAGTCATGTGAGATTGGCTGATCTGGCAGCCGAAATCCTCGTCATCCATGGGATGAAGGAACAGTCCAACAGCTCCTCCTCACTGTGGTCATGACACACCTTGGCCTAGACTGAGGGCATGTAGTCTACCCAAGTTTTGTTTTCTCTCAGAACCTGCCTGGAATGCCAGTTGAGCATCTGAATTTTGGGAACAGGCTCTTGTACAGAAAGAGAAATAAAGAAACTACAGCAGAAAACTCCGAGCTTGGGAAGTAGATCTGGCTATGACAGACTGTACTAAACTGGAGACTGTCAGTTCTTGGCTCTCCAAGTATATCATGTCATCTGTCCTAGACTCAGATTTCTTTTATTGATAATGACAGGCTGTGTTTGAGAAATACAAATGAAATATTGTTATGCACTTAGTACATTGTGGGCATTGCAGGCATGAGAAAAGATAAATGCACTTTCGCTCTCTCAGTGCCCTGCACCACTTCCTTACCACATTTATTTAATATCTCATATCAGTAACTACAAGAGACACACGGAACAAAGCTGTAACAAGAAAAATGGAAGAGAAGGATAGGACGTTTCCTGTAGGTACCAGGCTCATACAAACTCTGCCTGTACTATTATTCAGGTTCTTCTGCACAATGGAAACGTACGCGAGAGCTTGATGCACTGTAGGTATTCACTAGAAAAAGAAGAAACCAAACACTCCCCACACAGGGACTCTGAAATAGCCATAGCATCCTGCCTGTCCACAGTGACTGTCCAGTTACCTACGCCGTGTCAACAATGCAGATAACATCCTACACACTGTCATCTCCTAGAAGATCCCAGTCCGGATGCTTTGACAGATAAGCAGGGTCCTCCAAACAGATATACTTTGCAAACCCTGTTGTGCTGTCTCTGGAGGTTTTAGAGATCCTACTGCAGACTATGTGACAGACCTGTCAGCTAAAAAAGCAGATGGAACAGACAGGCTGGTAAATGCTCCTATACCTCCTAGGGCACTTCTAAACAAAGATGGGGACATGTTGGTAGTCTTCCCAAACCCATTATTAGCTTCCAGTTCCAGAACCTCCTACGCTTTTAGCTGCCAAAAACCTAAAAGACGGGGTCCTATTACCTCCCAGACGGCAAACATATTTCATAAGGGCCACTCCATGTACAGCCTCCCAGTAAGCCAGCGTATTGTAAGCAAGGCAGCCACAGCACTGCTCCACTTGCACATTATGACTGTAGTTGTACAGTAGATACCTTCATGTTTACAGCTGAATAAGAGGCGCAAAGGTTGCTACATGCAACGCATCTTGATGTATTAGCCACAAAGGAAGAAAGTCCTTATCATTCAGACAGCATCGTCCTTTGTCTTCAGCTCCACAGGTCGCAGGATAAATGAATTCCTAGCTATATTGTCTGGCTAGTTGTGCCATGTGGGAAGAAAGAAAAGTCATTTTCATGGCAAAATAAGAACACGCATTAGCAAATGCAGCCACATTATCAGAAATCCTACCAGTTCACATGGGAAACAATGCAAAAAGAGAAATTACTGTCGTTATCTGTGACACCCTTCAGTCAATGTAATAGCAGTAATAAACTGAACCCATGGGTTTTCAGCAGAATGAAACACAACTCCCAAATAAGATTGCCAGACAGAGCAGACATCCACAAATGCAGCTGAATTCCATAATTTTTCTGATAAAACAATTAGCAACATTTAGAATTCAACAGATCAAACCCAAAGCACACTCATGATAATACACTGAACGTCTGCTTGCAGGGGCAACCCACTGCTGCAGAGCTCTGCTCAGCCAAACTTTTCACCTTCCCACTTGTTGCCAATTGACACGATATTGCTCGTACCTAAACACAAAAGATTCTAAAATAAATACAAATGAGGGGTGTTGGTCACTCTGGAGACAAGAACTTCCTCCTCTTCTGGATTTAGATGGATCCAGGATACAGCAATGATGCTCCGCATAGACTTCCTGCAGGCTGCAATATGATGCAGCATTCCCTAAGCAAGCTGAGACCGAGTGACTGAACTGAATGAAAGCACAGCTCCTTGCAAACTTCGCAATTTGGGTTCAGAAAGGAACTGAAGGAAAGAGCTGACAGTAACCACCTGCTTTACTTTCCCCATTGTATATCAATAGTATCTAACTCAGTGATGTCCCCTTCCTCTTTGACGAGGGAGGAGAGAATTAAAATGCAGATGTAGGAGTTCAAAGAAAAGTAAACTGAGAAACTTTAAAAAAAAATCCTTCAATGGTGCCTCAACTGATGTAAAAAGGATACCAGTTGTAATAGTGTGCGGTTCTGTTGCACAAAAAAAAAAAAAAGTTATTTCAAAATAAATTGAAATAGAAGCTAATAAAAAAATTCAGTTTGAACTAGTGATAGTTTTTCTGCACCTGTTCACTGCTTCAAGGCTACAGCTCTTGTCTCATAGGATAATTGTTTCTGACCATTCTTTGAGAGTCGAAGAAGAAACAAAACCCTCTTGCTGGTGGCTGAGATTTTAAGCAGGCAACCAATTCACCAGTGCTGATCGCAAATTTGGAATTTTAATTAAAATTCCAGAGTGCAGAAAACTGACATGTAGAGAGCAGTACCATGAAAGAGTAACTTGAGAACATAACACAATAGTCAATATCAGCAGTGCTTTGTTGAAGAACCATGAAATAGAAGTTGTTTCATTCCTTCACCTCAATTAGAATGTAAAGAAAGATTCTTCAAGCTCTGAATTTTGAGGATAAACAGGCTCACGACAACAAGGCAAGGTCAAGTCAGTGGAAGGAAGAGTTCTGTAGTGTTTCACAGCTAGTCCCTTTTGTCACTATACGATGCTCAGCATTTGGCTATGTACTTTCACACCCTTTTACACGGAAGATTGTAACAGAGATACTTTTGTCTCTGCTCAGCTTTTTTGCCACTTGTTTTTAGTTAGCTCTTAGGAATACAAAGCAAGTTGTATTGAGCAACTGAGCAACTAAGACCATAGTGACAGCAACCTCAGTTGTAAATTTTCAATTCCCGTGGTAGCAAGTAATGATGACAGCTTTGTGGGCAACTGTGTTCCACGAGCCACGGGCTGCAAATCTTCTTTACTGTCCTCGACTCTTGTGACATGTTATTGTGCATCACTGCATGTTGTGCTACGTATTACCACATTCATGGTGGTTCTTATATGAAAGATTTATTTTGACAGTGGGGTTTGCAGTAGCAATCTGCAAATAGACTTGAGCTCCCTTAGAATGCAAAACTATTACATAAAATGGAAGATGCTCCCATGAACCTTGCTTAGGCTCTCTTCACCTACCGGTTTTCCATCATTAGCCTGAGGGTGGGAAACAATCAGAGATTTCTGTTCTGCTTTGCCCTTACCTTTCTGTCTTCTCTCACTTGTCCTGATGGCGTTACACAATTTCCCTGCTTTGCCTTCTGTCAGTACCAATGGCATCAGCATTTTGCCCATGCCATTCTTGACTCAACACCCTTGGTTGAGGTAGCATCCTGCTTGAAATGTTTGGGTTACTGTCACACCCACTGTTCTGCAGCACAGTGATCCCACAAAAGAAGATTCTTCAAAGTAGAGACTCTGGATCTCATTTGCGATACAGTACTATACTCTTTGTAGAAAAGGATAGTGCCAATTTAATGCTTTGTCTTATGCCCATGGCTAGCAACAAAAGGACTTTCAATCATTTTAGTAGCTCTGGCTTTGGTACTTAAATCAACTTTCTGCAGTTTGATTGCTAGATATGAACAAGGTAGACCACTTCCATGCATATTTGACTGATAAACTATATTCAGCTTGTTCATACTATGGATTTAAAAAAAAGAAGTCATATAAGCTACTTCATATGATGATCTGCATAGTTCAGCGATAGTAACGGTATCTATCCCACATATTGTTTTACACAGACACTGATTAGTGACCGTGGAGCTACAGCATAAACCAAAGGTTGCCAAACTTTGAGTGAAAACTCAAATACATTAAAAAATTACTAACCCTAAAAGCCTTTGCAATGATAAAAAGAACTAGCTGCTCATTGATACCTAGACTTACTGTGCCGCAAGATGTGTGCTTTTCACATCACTCCATTCTAAAGAAAGTTACTGGTGACAGAATTCAGATTAAATAATGTACTGCTATTCTTCGGGCTTGTGGTGTCAGTCCTGGAATCCCCAAGAATCTCATGAGCATCACTGCTTGCCTAATACTTATGAATTTGACTTGCAAGTGCTGGAATTTATCTGCACTGTATTCTGGAATAAGGGAACTTGCTAATAGTTCACAGAATGATGAACTGTAATGGATTCACTAACTTCAGTTTACAGAATATTGACTTTCCTTCATTAGGATCACCTTTTCAAACCTTTGGAGCACAAATAGAAAATCTCTGATTACAGACAGAAAGTCACTCTCTTTCTGGTGCAGACCATTTTCTGGTAGACATCCAACAACACAGAGCTGTATAGAAAATCCAAACTAGTGTGGGTACCAGCAGCTCTAGATAGTTCTACTTGCATGAGTTCCACCCAAACCAGTACATCTCCTTTCTGGGCTTACAATGAACTTGGACTACCGCATCACCACACCTATACTGTTACTGGTAACTTTGCACAGCAGTACATTGTTGCACGTGATTACATTTGTAACGTTAGCAGGGTACCAATAAGGGTATTCTTAGTAAGATTTAATTCATCTCTTCCTAGAAGGTGGAGGTTCTTCTGGCCACCAAGATGCAGGCTTATGAACAATATTATGTTGAGAAAAGCTGAAAAACTCGAAATAAGGAAATAGTTTCACAAGCACTTACCAACAGTATGTCTGTCACAACAGCCCAGTTTACAGACAAAAACAGTTCTCCAAATGCAATAAAAATCTGCAAAAAAGAAGAAAGGAGTGACTATGTATGCTGCATTGGCCTTCTTTATTGTGAAAATGAAGACAGGCTTACTGACCATGCTTATCTATCTAAGAGTTATTGTACATACCCATCTGCTTATAAATTAAACATCTCTGTCTATGCTTACAAACACTAATTTTGTCTTAAAAGGGGGGAAAGGAACCAGAGAAAGTATGTTGGTTGCTTTGTGTTACAAATCCTCAGCAGAAGAGCCAAAATAGAAACCATATACCATTCTCCCAAATGAACTGTAATGAACTGCTGATCCCAAGAAGAGGAAAGCAAGAGCCTGTGAAGACAAACATTTAGCACAGGTTTAAAAAGTGCTCAAAGATGTCCCTTTGCTTGCATTTCCAAATGAAACCAATAGAACGCCTCTGTGCCAGTACAAGGACTCTTAAAGGCTCCTTCAGAGAGATAACTTCCAAAATGAAATGGACTCCAAAAGAGACAGGCAGCCTCAAAGCCTTGGTGCCCTGTGGGAATTCCCTAATTCATCACAAATGGAGACCCAGCCATCAGGAAAAAGGGTAGAGCCCTCAACAGTTCTTACAGCTGTGGTCTTAGAAAAGATTAACCCTTTCAGCCAGTCCTGGACATAGGTTTGAGCAGGCTGTACAGACTAATTGATACTTGAGGAAAGCATTAAAGGTACACTATTAAGCTGGAGCAGTTCTAGAAGGCAGAGACACAGGCCACAGTTAGATGGCACTTAGGAAATAAAATCCATAGTAACAACAAGTGCCAGCATCTTGTTCAGTAAGGTCTTGGTCAAGGTGCTGTGCCTGGTTGATGAAAACACAGTCCTAAGAAAGGCACAGCGGCAAACTATCAGATGTTCTCAGAGGGGTAGCTTACATTCTCCTAAGAAGAACCAGACCTATTTTACATCTTCCTATGACACCCCTACCTCCTCTGTGTTTCTTACCCGTACTGTTCATGTGTTTTCTTCTCCAAAGACCTTTACCCAGACATCTTTTCCTTCAAAATATTTTATATAAGTTTTCTAATTTGCAAGTGAATCTGTTCCTCTATAGATAATTATTTTTCTTTAAGTTTTGTAACAAATATCACTCATTTCACATACTCCTTGACTATGTCTTAGCTCTTGGATTTACGCATCCCACTATCAAGATCTTTCCACTGATACAACCTTGGCAGACCTTGCCCTTGCAAGAAACAGAATGCAATCATTCTTCTCGAATCCCGTGACTGTTGCTATAACACTCTATAGACTACAGAAACCATGCTGTATGCCAGTCTTAGCTGGACAGCAACTGACACATCTTTTATTAGAGAACTTTGGGCCAAACACAAAATTAAACATGTTCATTGACATGGGTAGCAATATCATACCATTCAGCTTTTTGCCAAGCCACCCGGCAATAAGGACTACCAATGTCAAATCTTGCAGCCACCAGAAAATATTAGCCCTTCATTGCCTTATTTCAGGCTAATACTTTTTGAACTCTCTTGGAAAAGCCAAACTCATCAAGGACCTTCCTTGCTTTTTTTCCCCCTGGTTCCATACAAATAAACTTTAAATGTGCTATTGCTTAACTTAGAATTGCAGCCTGTAAAGTGGTCAAAGCAGTGCTCACAGGCAAATGCAGAAGTACAGTTGAATCCTGCTATACAGTGATAATGGCATTAATTTATGTAAATTCTGTCAATTGTGTCATAGCTAGCTAGAGGTACCGCAGGTTAAAGTGAAACAGGAAGGAGACAAAGAACAGAGGGATTTATTTAAATCCTGGCTGACACTTCAGGTATAATAAGATGCAAATACAATGGTTAGCGCAGAAGGTTCTGAAGACTCCCAAACTGTTCCTAGATACCATCAATGGAATATATGGCTACCTCCTTTACACATCAAATGACAGATTGGTCTATCTCCCTTATAGGAATCTCGGGATGTTTAGTACTTTTAAAGTGTTGTTTCCAGTTTTCCTTTTTCTTCATGGTTTTTCCATGTTATTTAATCTCTACGAGCTCCTAAGAACAAAAGCATGTCATGCCTGGTGCAAGAAAGAAAGTCAAATTCACCTTTAGGAAACAAGTTATATGCTCAACCTAGAGTTCAAAGGAATAGGAATTAATGTAATATTATCCATGATAAGAAAATGTGACATTCAGTGGTTAAGGCCTCATACTCCAGAAAATAATTATTTCATATATACTTGTGTTAACATTAAAGACACAACTTTGTTAGCTTTGCTTTTCTCTCCTAAGGTCTTGTGTGGATTGCAGTTGTAAGGTCATTAGAAAAATTTAACCCAGACAATTTTGGAAGGTAATCACTCTACAGATTGTATCAAAGTATTCTGTCTAAAACCAATATCAATTTTATACTTTCTCATGCAGAATAAATGCCATACAGTTGAATAGCTGGCATACTAAGCCATCCAACTGCAAAACAACTGCAATCAATAAAGAGGAGAGAGTCGTATGTTCTTTTCTTCAAAACAGGTGGAGATACCCTGGAATTACTGTACTTGGTTAGGGAGAAGGGCTGAGGATGGCAGGAAAACAAGAGCAATGCTCTGTTTAAAGTATATCCTTCTGTTCCTACCATCTCTCAATATTCCTCATGCTGTCTCTTATTTTAAATAATTATTGAAAAGTTTTCCATTAAATTTGTGTAATCTTGTTTGTGGCATGCCCATTCTAATCTAAGTGTATGTTGAAAAGAGTCACCTTAGAATCACAGAACCATAGAACGGTTTGGGTTGGAAGGGACCTTAAAAATCATCTAGTTCCAACGCCCCTGCTGTGGGCAGGGACAACTTCCACTAGACCAGGTTGCTCAAAGCCCCATCCAACCTGGCCCCATCCAACCTTCTCCAGGATCCCCAACTGTTTTAACAGAAAGCGCTTAAAAGTTGGTTTTCAAAGGAAACCAGAATAACGTCCCAAATTTTAAGGGGGTTTTGATTTGTAGATGACTGTTTATATGCATACCTAAAGCTAATATGAAGAGAATTAGATTGTAATCAACGTCCGTGCCAAACACACATTCTGCTTTTAAACAGTCACATGCCTCAACAGAAAAGTAGGGAATCAGTATGGTTGGACCATATGTGGTCAACAATTTCTGTCTTTTCAAAAAGAACCACACCAGGCAGGTGTATCAGAGACAAGAACTGCAGAATGCCTCCTCCAAAGGCAAGTTGCAGAGCAAGACTGCATCCCGATACAGCACTACCATCAAAGATAAGTCTGTTTAAATCTAAGTTACCACAACACCAAATACTGTCCAAGGTTCCCAGTCACAGGGTTCAGTCATGACTTTCCAAAGCATCTGCTGCACTGCAAAGCATGCTTCTTTTGTCTTGTTTTGGAAACAGGAACAAATTTAGACAGAGCCTCCCCTGATATAACAAAGCCAGGTAATTTTTCTCTGTCTTTTCAAAGGTAGTCTTTGAAATCAAGAACTGAGTGTCCAAAAAGAGGACAGAAATTTCATTACATTTCAGTTTACCTACCCCAACAGAACCCTTGGAAGTCCAGCCATATTTCCGTGTTAACTTGAGAATTCTTGTGCTTTGAAACACTCCTTCCAGCTTTGGCCATAGCTAAATAAACCTGACTCGTTCCCTTTCATTATCCACTCAAGACAGTGGAAAGCACTATACAGAAACTACTGTAATTGCACGCTGATGCACGTATGCTTTTTTGCTTCAGTACCTTCTGCACTGGGAAGTGATGGAGACGGGTTTGCTAATGTCAGTGTGCCTGAGTAGACAGTGACCAGAATGCCAGTTTTCTGCTAGTGTCCTACACAAATGGAAGATTTGTTTCAGTGGGACCTTCAAATTAGATACACCAGCTGGTGCGCCGCTCCAATACTCACACCAGTATGAGTAGTGTCAGATCTTGTTTAGAAAGCAAGGAGAGGCATGGCTGGTGCCAGAGAAAGCAGTAGTTAAGCAGCTGCAGTGGTAAAAGTACTAGAAAAAATCAAGTGCTTAGATTCCCTACAATTTATTACCAACTGCACATTGTTGACGTTACATTTTGGAACACCTGAATCAAGCACATCAAGCAAAAGACAAAACAGCAAAGTCTCTGGTTAAAAGACCAACTGGTCTGCCCAGGGGAAGAAACTTAAGGAACAATTATCCATATCCCAGTTCAGAATTTCCTCCCAGATATCACACTGATTGGAAACAGAATGTCGTTTGCATGAAGAGAAGCACTTAAACAAATTTCTTTTTATCAGTCCTAATAAAAGGTACATTTTGGTAATTCAAAAGCAATATATTGATTCGCTCATCTAACACAGGCTGGCAAATGAAACTGTTGTTCTCCAACTTTAATGACAGAAAAAGAACTGAAGAACATAGTCAGAGCGGAACTATGTGGGAACCTGAGAAGCAGAAAAAGAAAATGGCTAATTCATTTGGCACTTAGATCTCCTCTCTCGAATCTAAAAATAATCTTCAATTTCATATTTTGCTTTGTGAATACACAATCAGACATGCAAATCCATTTGTTTTTTCCCTTGGTGTAAAGGTGTTTTTCCACAGGAATACACATTCCTGAGGAGTCAAAAGGAAAACCTCTTTGAGTAAGTGTTATTCTCAGAAGAAAAAAACCTGCAAAAGTACCCTTTCACAGAGAACTGTTGATTACTGTAATTAACTTTACTTGGATCCTCTTATTTATGTTAATCATGGTAATTGTGGCTATGGAGTCACAGGAAAACAGCTTGGAGTCTTTCCCTAGCTGTTACCAGATTATAGTTAAAATAAGGTTGATGTTCAGTTCCCTCTGACAGGGATTTTTTGGAACTATTCGTCATTCCTAGTAAGTGTCTATTTTTCCCTTTACTGAGAACAGAATTTCAGTTGTTTATACTTCAGTTTGCATTGCCAAAAGCTTGACTTTGAAGATCAGCTAGTGATTTGGGGCTTTGAAGGTGATGGCTAAATTATTCTTAGCAAGAACTGTACGTATTGTACAGTCACAAGTACACCAATCTTTAAGTATTCAGAGAGCAAAAATAAATAAGAATACTAAATTAGTCACATAGCATTAAAAATTAACATAAGATTGAGGCTTCCTTTAACTACATTTTTGCATAAGGGACACACTAGCTTTATGCAGCTAACTACATAGGCTTACTATTCTCTTCCTTAGTGTGGGCAGACTCTGTAGGTCCTGAGGCCCAATTTATAATGTTCTGACTGGATGCCCTTTTTACTGGACTAAATAATGCACAGCGTGGCTCTTGCAGGACAGACCACAGCTGTGGGCAGTATTAGAGCAACATGCACAGTGCTTAGCTGGCAGGCCACCTTGTCGCAAGTCACTGAAATCTCTTAATGGTCTAGAAGATTACAGAGAATTCTGCAAAAGCAACCCCTCGCCTCCTCCACCCACTTCCTTTTCTCCCCAGGATCCCAAAAGACATTTTGCTAATGATAGACAGATTGGCACTTACAAAAGTGGAAAGAATGTTTGTCTGGGCCACCATCAGAGCTATGTAGAGGCAAAGAGCAGAAATGAACATGCTTGTGGCACAGATCAGAGGATCAGCTTTGTTGTTTATCTTCCTTAATCTTCTTGCAGCTTCTGCGCCAGCAATGACGCCCAAGATCCCTGTCCCAATGGTGATGCCTCCAAATATTAGGCTGGTGACAAAGAAAAGGATTCAGTTAAGCATAGGAAGACCATACTGTGGAAAAAAAAATAGTGTTACTTATACCTTTAGTTTCAGAGGAATCTTTAATGGGGAACTTGAATTTTATTCCACCTGATCTAACCCTCCCACTCCTTTAAATGGATGTAATCCCAAGCCTCAGTTGAAGCTATGCCTCTGCAACTGAGGCTCTATCCCGTGGAGCAGTTATTTTCCCATTTACAGACCCGGTGTTATGCACCCAGGCTGAAGGAGGACTCTTCTCAGTGTGACCTGGCTTGGACATCCAGTGATTTAGAGGAGACACAGTCATCTTGGTTACCCTGTGAACCAATCTACTCAGTCATCCCTAAAACACTGATGGAATAACTCTGTACCACAATCTGTTGCCTTGGAAGAGATCCTATCACGCGGAATTATATACATCTAAATTATAACCCTCTAGTTAGCACAGCTGAGATGAGTCACTTCTCTGACTATGGGAAACATCTACCACATCCCAAAAGAGTGCAAAGAATATTGAATAGCTAACTAGTGGGAGGTTCCATGTAGTATTTTCTGAACACAGAATTTCAAATGCCACTCAGCTTTGTGTGTCTGCAAATGCTAATGTGTTCTCCAGGAATGACAAGTTCATGTTTTAAAAGTATATGTTTGAATAGCTTAGAAGATTCAGCTTCCAGAGGGACTTCCATATATGCTTTTCGCTCAGTCCCAAATGAGATCCTAATGACAAAGCAAGTCTCTTGCAACAAGACCAGTGGTGCCACTGATTGTTTAATGCATCATAATTCTCCTGAGGCAAACAGGGACAGGAGCATTGTGTTCTGAGCACAACTGCTTCTAAATATTTCAGAGTGTCACATGATAAGTTCTGTACCTTTTCCTAAGCTTTCTCTGACTGCAAATCAAAGTAACCAGGTAGGATATGATCTATTCCTTTAAATTGCAGTGCATCTACTTTTTAATTTCTTTCTGGGTGATTAGGAAGAATTTAATAATTCTACAAAAAAAAAGAAAAAGTATTGCTATGCAAGATAACAAACTTTAAGCATATTTGTACTCTCCCTCTAAGTTCTTCAGAATTCAGATCCATCACTCACTATAGCTTGATAGTGACAATATAGATTGTCACTAGGCACAATAACTATCTTAGAGATTTGTCTGGGAGAGGCAAGTTCCAAAGTGACATTAGTTGATCCAAGCATTCATGGAATTGTGTTTAGAAGATTCATGTGTTGTAAACTGCAGTTGAAATAAACCTAAAGCTGGAAGAAAGGGGAACAGTGAAAAATAAATCCAAGCATAGTTCAGTTGACAGGGAGTAGGAAAGTACAGAGGCTTACTCCTGGGGAAAGGCTACTATGGGATCTTTTAGGGTCTAAGAAAGCTGCTCGCTTATCTGTCTGATCTGTTTGAAAGCATCTGCGCAAAGACCTGAATAAAAACTTCATACTGCCTATTTATCTACCTTGAAAGGATTGAGACCTGAGTCAGCTGTGGTGCCATTTGAATTTGTGTTTCCAGGGAGTCTAAGTGACACAGCCTTGATCCTTAAACAAAGCCTGCAACTGCTGAACTGCCAGAGGGGAAAACGTCCTTAAAGTATCCCTGGGCGGGTCTGGGAATGTGCAGCTCAGTTCTCCCAGCACCATCAGCGACAGGTCTGACATAGTTGTTTATATTATGTTTCTTTACATCCCCATGGAATAACAGTCTAAACCCAGCCTTATGCTGCTTCTGGCACTAGCTTATGCCAAGGTTCTTTTTAAAGCATCCTGTAAGAAAGCAGTACATGAGGTTAAACTATCAGGTGCTCCATTTTACTACTCTGAAGACCATGTCTGCTCTAGCAACACGACTGTGGAATAATAATTCAGAAGGTGGATTAGAAAACAAAACACGGGCTAACACCTTCAGCTTAATAAAGGAAGTATTTAAACTGTATCTGTTTAACAGATACAGCAGAACAGTTTAAACTGTCCAGCTTCCCTTCTCTGCCTACCCTGAGCCAGACTCCTGAGTTCATTCCCTTCCTCAGCATTATTTGCTGTTAACTAATGTGCCAACAGTGGCATCCATGGAAGGACAATTGCATTTCCCATTGAAGTACTTGTGGATGACTATTCAATCCACCTGGTTTGCACTACAACTCAGAAATCACTTTTGAGTTGATTCAGTTATTCCATTGTAGAAAAGCAAAAGAACCCCATTACCAGAGGACACACTCAAGGTGTGATTACTGCTTTTCCCCATTAATTGCCTTTACCTGGAAAGACAATGTAGTAAGCAGGTAGTTCTTGTAAATCCATCATGAAGGCAGAGACTACAACCAGATTTGGGATACCTCCAGAAGAAAGGTAGGGACATGTGTATGGACGCCACTGGTAGGGAGTCAGTACATAGAAGAAAAGTGTCCCAGTGCTCACTGTTATTGAGGGTAGCCATGAATACTCAAGAAGAACATTGAATACATTTTTTTCTGTTCTGGATAACACATTGTAAGGAAAATAATTCTACTCCTTGCTGGTGAAAAGTGATCTCTAAGAAGTTGTATTATGACTACTTTCAACTCCTCTCCTGTTGTAAATCCCCCTTGCCCATCCGACATTTGATACTTATTAATGAATCTTTATCAGTACAGAGAGCCTCTGTAAGCAGAGATCTGCTGGCAGTTACTCACAAGACCAAATTATCCTGTTTTGAGGTAATGATATCATACGGGATCAAATTCACCAAGCTTGCTTTATGCTGGGAGTCACAATGACCTGGCCAACACAGCAGCAGTTTCAGACTAACAAGAAGATAACAGGAAAGTTACCAAAATACAGGATCTAAACATACTTAAATTGGTATTTACGTAGCTCAGGGTGCACAGTCAATTGTCAACTAAAGTCTTCTTGCTAAAGCTGCTCCTTTCCCTGCAAGTGTTCCTATTACTGCTTCTTTCCACTTTACTTAAATAGGGCTGGCAGCATCTTTCCAGTTAACTGAGCGATTATAAACAAACAAACATATAGGAGTGTCTCAGCATACCTGGAAGCAATTTAGTCTAACATTCACACTCAATTGCCCTCACAAGAAGTGTTCACAGTAACATCCTACCTTCTGCCTTTGGAAACAACTGTGACTTAGCACTGTGCAGTGTTTCCAAGTGTGTTTCCACAACCGTGCACACCTCACCTGTTAGATGAATCACAGGTTTTATCATCACACGGTGATACAATGCCCTGGACAACCTGAGCCCTGTAAAGAAACACCGGTACCCACATTCCCAGGGCACCAGTAACGAAGGCCATGGCAGTCAGACCCAGCGAGGACCAGACAAAACTCCAACTGAAAGTCAAAAGAAAGAAAAGAGAGCTATTAGAAAGAAAGGGGTGTGAGGAAAAAAGGGAAAAGCCTACCTGCAATACCCAGGATTTCAAGCAATAACAAAGCAATTCATTCAGACATCTTATAATCAAAATGTACTCCCTTGAAGATACAAACTTTGATGAGTCTTATCTATGAACTTCAACAGTAAAGTACCAATTAGAGTAAGACCTACTGATTTCATGTTAAATCCCAGTCCTGGTCTCTTGCAGAGTTTATTGCCAACTTTTGCTAAAACAACTGCTGTGAAATTTTTGATAGCAGAACTACAACAATGAAAGGCAGGCAAGAGTTTAATGGCTTAGCAACCAAATGAAAATGTTCTATGATACGACTAAATGGCTTAGGATGGTTTTAGGTTGTTTGTGTGACCAGTAGAAATGAGAGTAACATATGGGTCTTTCAAACTGTTAAGACACAGCAGCTGAAATGCGCTTAACTCTACGTGAGTAAAAACAGACTGTCAGTTTGCACAGTGAGTTTTCAAGACAACAGGAGAAGCATTTTTAAGAACTGTCCAAATCTTGTCTTCTTCCTGCCCTGTTCTACGAGAAAATTAACTTTTTACTAGTCTCTTTCTTGTTAATAGTTTAGGAGAAAGTCCCCTTTGAGGTCAATAGGGAGGTATGAAATCTTAAGACTAAATAAAAGCGCTGCAAATGACCAGGTGACCACCAGACTAGAGGATTTGTTAAGATATGAACCTAATTCTTCATCTTCTAAGGATAAAGGTCTCTTTGAGTTGATTAAAAGAGGAACCACCTGTTTTTTTGGCAGTATGTCCTTATGCTTTGGAAATTAATTGCTAAAGAAAATTAAAATCTATTTTTACAACATTGCTGGAGGTTGTAATGAGCATTTTTGCAGAAAAGCAACTTTGACGATAGTCTAGTTGTTGAAGTGTCAGAAAGGTTCATTTTTGATTCGGGAAAGTTCATTTTTTATTCACTTCAGAGAGTACTGCCTACAAACTGTAATCCGACAAACTCAATCTCTAAGATACTTGCTGTTCTGGATGCAAACAGGATGCAAATCTGATTGTCAATTAGAAAACGCTGGATTCTACAGAAGAGGAACACTCCAAAGACAGACAAGGTCCCAGGAAAGCAAGTCTTTAAAACTAAAAACATTTGATCGGGACCGCGGGGAAGCGGTCTGCGGGCACTGGCAGTGCGGAGCCGGCTCTGGCGCAGCTGCACAGCGGCACCTGCTGTTCACCAAGAGGATCCAACTCTTCCTTCCTGCCCCTGGCATGGGCTTTCACGAACTGCAGGGTAACAGGAGTGAGAAACCTGCTGCAATCAGTATTCTACTTCATCCTGCAGGTCAGCTGGTGTTGCGTTTAATTTTTGTGTGATTAAAAGGAAGAGGTCATCGGCCAGCCACAGGTCAGCGGGTCAAAACACACGTACAATAACTTTATAAACAATGTTGGGTCCTACCGACCCTCACCTCTTGTATCAGAGGCATGCCAGGCTCACAAATACCATAAAACAACTGGCTGAGACATGCTGATCCAACCTTCCTCAGGCACTAAGAATTGCACATAAAGTTACACCTGCAAAATATGCCCTTTTACCAATCTAGCTTACCCTATGTGTTAAAGTAAGAGGGGAGGGGAAGCTTAGTAAAAAGTAGAGTTGGATTTAAATAGGAGCACACTGCTATCATAACTTTGCCTCCTTCCCCCTCCTTAAAATGGGAGGACAGCAGAAGCAAAGAAATTTCTGATCTCTTGTGTAGTATTCCTGTAAAAGTGGAAGAAAGAATTTTATAAGTGGTGTTGTAATCATCTCGTCTACAGCATGCAATACAAAGGAACTGAGCAGGTCATATTTCTAATAATGAAATGGTCGTTCCTCAATGGAGGGAACCAATGGAAGGAACCTTTGCTGCTAAAATCACTTACTTCTTGGCAAGTGATATGACATCTTGACACCAAGTAGCCTTGGCAGTTCTGTGCACACCTGGTTTCTCAGCTGCTACTCGTATTGTGCCGGAGATGCTCAGTGCTCTGTGTGCTGCTATCCTTCTCTGGGTCCTGTGAGGGACCAGTAGGATCAGAAGAACCAGTGCTAGACCTCCCATGCAAGGAGTTATCTGTAGACACAAGGCTGGTTAGATCAAGGATACCTTTTTGCTTATAGTGAAGACTCCACAGCAATTCAAATTCAGCGTTAGAATTACACATCGGAGAATCGCAGATATGTTCAGAAATAGATGTGACTTGCTGTTTGTAGGTCACATTTGTAAAGAAGAAGAGCAATTTTGGCGATTCATGGTGACTTTGGAGGAAAGACAATAGATCCTCCATCCCCATCATACAGATACATGATCACTCCCACTGATTTTGGAGAAAAACATGTGAAGAAAGAAAACTGTATTCTAGCCACAAATGCAAGAATCACTGATGCGGTCATCAGTGTTCTCTGAATAACATCAGACTGTTATTCCAGTAAAGATTCTTCCCCACTCATCCTGTACTTGCTAGTTAATTTTATGGTAAGTTAGGAGGCTCTGACAAAGTACTTCCAAAGCAGTAGGTGTTCAGTATGGACAGACATCACAATGACATGACCAGAACAGAAGAGGTTATTTTCTTGAAACCTTCAAATAACAGAAGTTGTTCCCAACAGCATTTCAGAAAACAATCTGTCTGTATTTTCCTGAAGAATTATACTGGTGCTACCAGTATAATGATCATTTTACCTTCAGTTTCCTCTGTTTGAGGAGGTCTTGGTGCACTGACAACCAATCCAAGTGTGTCCTCAGGTAAGAGGAACATCAGCACCTGCCCAGGCTGCTGTACAATTTCACCTATGCCTGCTTTCATTCTGCAAGAGCTAGGCATAAATCTTCCGCTTGTCCTGCAGGAAGAGTTTTCTTAAACACCAAGTTCATGACCAGTCAGACAGTAGAAAGTCTTTCCACTGCTCACCTCTTTTAACACAATGATCATAAGTAATCCAAACCCCAGTGATGATTCTGATTTTACAGTGAATGCCTCAGCCATGAGTGAAAGTGAATAACTCACCCTGAATGCCCAGTGCCAGTCACCTGTGACATGTGCCATGCCAGCTGCTAGGACATAACCAAGACCACTGTAAGCAACAGAAAGGAATAATCAGTAGGCATCAATGAATTCTCACTGGCTGAAATGACATGTCTTGCCAGGGAAGGAGAGCACAGAGAAGTATTTTGTCATAGTTTTCAAAATGGATAAACAGAAACAACTCTCACAGTCTATGCTAGTCTACTTGCCAGCCAGTATTAAAAAGAGAGTGTAACCTCCTCAGAGCAGACTTAAGATGGTGGCAATAATGTCCCAGACTCCTGTGCCAGCCACATGAATTAAGTCCTGCAGGAATTCCTTTAGTTTTAATCTGCCTTCTGGGCGCAGCCTTGGCTCCTTGCTCTAATAAAGAGTGTGCCTCCGAACCACTTAAAAAGCCCTTCTCCACCTCTTCTTCAGACACAATGTCAATTTAACAAAAAGAGGAGAGGGAAGTGTCAGTTCTTCCTTGGGAGACATTTAATGGAGGCTTCTTGAAAAATTTGTGAAGTGAATAAATATCTGAAAGCTTTCCTCTTCCAAAACCCAGAAATAAATTACCTACTCCCATGCACGTATTTCTTTTAGAATTGATTCAATATTTTATTCAAAGCCTACCAGTTTTCAGAGTTTAGATTCTCCCTAAAAAATGTTGGGGGAAAGAAGCAAATTTTTCTTCAAGGTAAATATAGAAATAAACCTAACCATCTCTATTTAAACATGCTAAGCAAGTGACAACTCCTTTTGCAAGAGCCAATGCAGACATACATCAAAATATGTCTAATCAAGGCTCAGGGTATATTGAATTGCAGGCGTGGTCATACAGAATTTCGAAAGGCGGGTCAGTTACTAGCAAGAAAACCAACCTTCCCACTGGAATGAAGATATAGAAGATAGATAACATTGTGGTCCTTTTTCCTTCCTCAAACAGGTCTGCAATGATGGTGGGTGCTATTGTGGAATAACTGGCCGTGCCAACGCCAACTAGTCCTCGTGAAAGAAAGAATATCCAGTAATACTGCAGGCAAAAGACATATTATAGTCCAAAAAAGCCCATGCAAGAAAGAAAGCTTACTATTAAAGAGATGCATTTTAGTGGATCAAACGTACCAGAGGAAATAAGAATTCAGCCATCTTTCACATATGTCCGTATTCCCTCCACTCACACCTGCTTCCCTCGCATCCCACTGCTCTGCTTCCTACTTTCTGCACAGTAGTGACGTCTTAGAGTGATGCCCAAAGGGAATTACAGGACAGGTTTGCCAAACAAGCTGCTACACTGTTAAGGTCATAATCAACAAACATTCGGGACAAAAATAAGATCCCATCAATTGCGACAGTAATGCGTGCATTCTCCATTGCCTAGGCTGGTCTCTATCATCCCATAAAG